TTAAAAACAATAAATAATATTTTAATACAGTAATTGCTGTTGTATGTTAACATAGTAAAAATAAATAATAATTTTATTCAGTGATCTTCCTCCGGGGTTAATATAGTAAATAGTATGTTTGTCCATGTCATTGTGAACCGTTTCTACTGGACTGGTCATCCGGTCATTTCCACACAGAGTGAAGGAGCTGCTGCGCTCACATGATGAAGAAAATGAAAAATGATGAACTATTGATGACGTTTCAGTTCATTCAGCCTCTGTCAGTCCAGTAACGCTGAGCTCAGAGGAACCAGAGCGATTTTAAATGATGTCCACGATCACAACGAACATGCAGGCCCCATAAAAACCAATGCTGACCAACCAGCTCACCTTGATGACGGTGAGATCTGATTGGCTCCAAGATTGGAGAGATTAAAGGCCCCTCAGTCCAAAACCCTGCATCATTATTAAATAATTACAGCACTTTAATACTAGAAGCGCAGGAGCTTATAGACCCGCTGAACATCAGCTGAGAATGTAATGACTGTTATGTTGCTTGTTTGCATCACGAACTGCAGCAGATTATTACATTTCTCTTTCAGCTTATCATAAGACCGCCATCCATCCCTGGACCCACATATATTCATAGATACATATTTCTTGATATTTGTTCATTTATTCATGTTTTTTGATATCCCCAAATATGAAAAATGAAATGTATAAAATTCCTGCAGCCACACATTTCAGATCTCCTGACTGCAGGTGTTTGGACTGTGGGACTGATCGGCTAATTAGCGCGATCAGTTATTAAAGATATAAATAAAATAAATAAAAGCTACCGAGAGCAGCTCGTGCAGCCTGGATTAGTCTGTGTCTGAGGATTATAACCAAAGAAATGTGGTGAAAATCGGCTGAGTAATGAGGAAGATGCTGTAAGACTGCGATGCGCTAGATGACTGGAGCGGATGGTCTGAAGCAGAAAGTGCTGATATTCCAACATGCAGATTTCTGCTGGTCGGTGATTCAGAACCTGTTGATGTGATTGTTTTTCCTCTGGTTTTATATTAAGCTTATTTTATTTAATAGTCTATTCAGGGGTTTTAACTTTATGTAGTTATTATTTACAGTGCCGGTTGAAGCTTTGTAGCGGTGAGTTACAGCATTAATTAATCCGTGTAGATATTCATAATAGATGAACGTTAGAACCTTCTTACACAGAGCTGAAGCGCTTCTTATCAGCCAGTTTTGTGTTCTAATATTCCCGTTCCACCTTAAATGGTGCAGCTTCAGGCACCAGAAAGTGACTGCTGAACCATTTAAGGTGGAACGGAAAACTCCAACAAGAAACTGGCGAATATGAAGGCAACTTGAGCTTCGTCCTTCTTCCTGTGTTTTGGGGGTGTTTTATTTTATGTGTGATGTGTTGATGATGTTGGATTCCAAAATAAGGGTCCTGGTGAACTGATTACAGAACCAGGAATATAAACGGTGTTTTCACTGAGTTTCGGCAACATGTTTAAAATGAATAACACTGCCGTTTGGTAGGTGAAGTGACTGAATAAGAGATGTAGGAAAGTTAATAAGCGTGTTTGTTTGTTTGTTTTTGCAAAACACAGCACCCCGGTTAGCGAGGACGGGCCGACCACCTCCGATCCGTCATGTGAGCCTGGGCGGGATTCGAACCATCGCCCAAGCCAACGGACACGAAGTTAGCGCGGCCTCTCTACTGCGCCACCAGGGGCTGATATTATGAAGTCAGCACTAAAGCCTTATATGGTTTACATGAAGCGCTGTAGCTGCGCGTCATTCTGTAGTCCGCGTTCTGCCCACAGTAGGAACTCCGGCTCTGAGCTCCGTTTCTCTGTGCTCAGAATGAATGGGGGCTTTTAAAGTCTCTCTGAGTTTTCCAGTCTGAAGATTCTCCAGAAGGGGGCGCTGTCAGCACTCAAGTAGCTTTTGTGTGCATGCTTGAAATGGAGGAAGCTCAATCAGCTCCAGCAGAATCAGAAGAGTGCTGGTATGTTTGCGCTCACAAACTGCATGAATATGAAGGAAAAGGACAGAAACTCACCCTGCGAGAGTTCAACAACACACACTACATTCAGTGCTGCACTGTTTGTTCTTGTTTATGTGGCGAATTTCACACCGAATCTCACATTAACCTGTTAGAAAACGCAGCTAGCAGCGTTAGCAGCGTTAGCACAGGCCAGAGGACAAACAGGGCTCTGATAACGACGACCACCACTTCTACATCAGGGAGGGCAAACAGAACAAACTAAACATGACATCATTGAGATTATAGGTTTAATACTGAATTATTGTTTGCTTTAGTTTTATTTCGCTAACGAAGCTCAACAGTGAAGAGTCTCCCCTTAGACAGTTAGTCGTCAGTGTTTTTAGCCAGTTACTTATAAAAATACAACAAATTAAACCACTTTAGCTAAAAGCATTTTCAGCGCCAAATTCAAACACCATTAAAAACATCACAAATGAAATGAATTCCATCAAAACATGAACACTGGTGTTTTTACAGCAGGAATACTTTGTCAATCACAGCACAGTCACCTCAGAAACACTAATAACTTTGACATTAAGCTTCATCCACTGTTTTATGGACATCTATGAAGTAGTTAGGAGTCATTTGTTTTGTAGTTTTGCTTTGTATTATAATTCGTTTATTATTCTTTAGCTGATGATGTAAACAACACTATAAAAAGCTGATTTAAAGTGTTTTTAGCTTTAAATTGATGTAAAACCCTGATTGTCTTAATCTACATTAGTGGTCACCAACCCTGGTCATGGAGGTCTGTCTAGTGCCAACCATAATCTGCCCACCTGCTCCACCTAACTAAGTCCCTGATTGGCTGGATCAGACGTGTTAGTGTTGGGTAAAAATGTTAGAGCAGGTTGGAACAAAACTCTGCAGGACAGTAGATCTCTAGGAGGAAGGTTGGTGACCACTGCAACATTTCATTTAAGATGTTTATTTGATTTGAATAAAAACAGTTATATTGTTTTTTTTTTACTGCATGATTTCTCTTTTTGGTTAAACTGATTGTTTTTTTCTGGTGAATTGAGAAAAAACCTCATTAAATTGGAAAAATATGACAGAACAGAATGATATCTTTCTATCTTTGGTATGAGGAGTAAATTAAACAGGTCGTCTGTGTTTTTGCTCATTCACTCTTTATTATATTTTAACAGTTTTATCTTTAATCTTTCAAGTTATGTTGTTTTGTTAAACAATTTCACCTCCAGCAACTGGTTCAAAGCCCTCAGCTCCTCAGACTGCAACTCAAGATGGTGTTTAATAACCAGAGACTCCATCTTAAAACATCTGAAAGCGTCTGGCTCTTGAGCTAATGCTGCTGTCTCTTGTTTTCTAGGCTCTCTGGTCTCATTGGCACTGTGGTCATTCACGCAGGGGTTAACCGCATCTCATCCCACAAAGTCCTCGAGGAGCGTTTCGGATCACTTCTAGAAACAGTTAAGTAGAGTACAGAAGCCAGGATTGTCATCTCAGGACCTCTGCCCACCTACAGGAGAGGAAGCCAGGTGTTCAGCAGACTCTCTGACCTCCACTGTTGGCTCCAAGACTGCGATAACAATGGCATTGGTTACGTGAACAGCTGCAGTGCTTTCTGGGAGAGACTTTGACTCTTTAATTTCTACCATTCTCCTCTTTCTCTGCTGCAGTAATTCTAACGCTTCTACAGCTATGAAGGGAGAAAAGTGCCTAAACTGGTCATTAAGGACAGTACAAACAAATCCAGAATTGTATTGTATAGTTGTATTATTGTAAAACATTAGATAAACAAATTACCTGAATTACCTGAGCGACAGAGAGTACGTCACTGCGAGCGACAGAGAGCAGCACACTTTAGAACTTAAGATCGAGCAGCGTCCAACACTCACCTAAAGAATTAGCAGTTAGCAGGCCGCTAAAACCCCCTCACGTCTCACGCCTTTCCCTCTTATTTTGTTTTCTCCCTCTCTCTTTCTCCATCTTTCTCACAGATACTTTTTCAGCCCATCCACCATGGCATCCCCCCAAGAACGAGCTCTCCAGGCACTGAGCTCAGAGTTGGCCCAGCTGGACCGGCAGATCACCGCCCTCCTGAAGAAGCAGGA